TGTGTGTGTGTGTGTGTGCGCGTGTGTGTGCGTGTGTGTGCGTGTGTGTGTGTGTGTGTGTGTGTGTGTGTGTGTGTGTGTGTGTGTGTGCGTGTGTGTATGTGTGTGTGTGTGTGTGTGTGTGTGTGTGTGTGTGTGTGTGTGTGTGTGTGTGTGTGTGTGTGTGTGTGTGTGTGTGTGTGTGTGTGTGTGTGTGTGTGCGCGCGTTTGTGTACGTATGTGTGTGTGTGTTAGTTATGTATTTTATTTTTTTTTATTTTTTTTTTCCCACATACCTGCGAGGTGATAGTGGGATAATACAGCGAATAATCGTACTGCCAACCGTTGGTACAGCTGGTGGTCGGCCAGCTGGTGTTAGGCCAGCTGTCGTTGCTTTCAACCACCTGTAATTGGGAAGGCGAAGGATAAATAAATATTGTAAATAAGTAAAGTTGAAGTGTGATGAAAATTATAATTAGATTAGGAATGGTTAATCTGACAGCATTAAAGTTACGTAAGAAATTTATAATATTGTAAAATGTAGTATGTTGAAATATTTGAAAGTCAAAATTAAAGTATAGATGAAGTGCACTGAGAGTATTTAAGTCTTAAAAAGCACAATTTAGATTCTGTTGATTAAAATTATTTATAGCATGAGCAATATGCTACCTTACTGGATGTCAAATATATAAGAATATGAATGATAAATATAACAATGATGATAATATTAAAATACATTACATTATATCAAAACACTGATTAAGAATTACTAATATTCCCCAGATTAGAAACGAGTTACATTCGGTTTATTAAATGTATAAAAAATATCGATGAAAACTGCAAAAGTTGCAGTTATTTAAAATACAAAAGACACTTATCAAAACAACGTAAAAATGATAAATCTATTTTCAGTTCGATATACTAGAACCATTTCCAGAATAAATGAATTGAAGGCTCGTTAAATCAGAAGTGTCAAAAAGCTTTGAGAGAGAGAAAAAAAAGACATTCAATATAAAATTTCTAAAAGCTTGAAACAGAAAAATGAATGTTTTGTTTAATGCATATATAATTTTTTTTTCCCTTTTTTTAGTCCATTTCGCTGACGAAATTCTACGAAGCAGAGGCACGAATTTAGATAAAATATAAAGTCGATGAAGTAGATAAAAAACAAATGAATAACTAAGACAATCATATTAATGAAAACAGACAAAAAAAAGATAAATAAGCATATAAGGCAAATGCACTGATGTAGGTAATAGATAAATAAATAAAATCCTTAAATACACGATAAAGGTAGGCCTACCTGAAAATTAAAAGTCTAATTATTAATGATTCTTTGTTACGGTGCTATATATTTGTTTATTTCTGTTATTTCCTGTTAGATAAATTAAATCTATCTCTTCTCTCTCTCTTTCTCTCTTTTTTATCCTCCTTACTCTCATTATACTCTTTCTCTTGTCTTCTCTCCCTGCATCATCATCTTCTCCTCTCCCTCCTGTTCCTTTATCTCCCTCTCTCCCACTTCCCACATTCTTCCCATCATTGTGGTAATCTCATACATCCCTCTCCCCCCAATTCTTCACTAGTTTATCCTCCTCCCATCTTTCGTTACGTTATCCTTCTCCGTCTCCCCTTTTTCCTCTTCTTTTCTCTTCCGTACATTGTCTTCCTCCCTTTCCCTCCTCCCCCCTACTCCCTCCCCCCTCTTTCTCTCTTCCTCTTCCTCCTCCTACTCCCTCCCTCTTTCCTCCTCCTCCTCCTTCCCCCCTCTTCTCCCCTCTTATTGCCATCTGCCTTCTCTCCCTCTCATCCCTTCCTCTCCCCCCCCCCCCATGTTCTTCACCACCTTCCTCCTTCACTGCCCTCCCTCCTACCATACCCCCCCCTACATTGTCCCTCCTTCTCCCCCCTCCCCCTCCCCCTCTTCCCTCATGGGTCCCCCCCCCTCCTCCTCCCTCATATTCCCTCCTCCCCCTTCCTCATATCCCCCTCCCCCCCTCCACCGTACCCCTCATAGTTCCTCCCTCCTCCCCATAACCCCCCCCCCCCCCTTCCCGAAGACACATACAATTCCAACGCCCTCTGCCCCCCCTACCCCCCTCTACCCATCTCCCCCCCCCCTCTCACCTGCCGGAAATCCACCTGGTACCTGGCGCACCGCAGGAAGTCCCCCCCGCGAGGATCAACCGGCACGGTGAGTCTCTTGACCTCGGCCGGGGTCAGGTTGAGCTGCATGACCTCGGCGGGGGGGCGACACCAGTGGGGCGGGGTCAGGGTCATGAAGAACTGGCCGAAGTAGACGAAGGCGAGGATGGAGCACATGAGGCAGTTGGCCGCGAAGAGGAGCTGCAGGGAAAGAGGGGGGGGGGAGGAGGGTTAGAGGGCCGTTTGGGGTGGTGGTGGTGAGGGAGGGGAGGGGGGAGGCGAGCGTCAAGGGGGGGGGGGGTGATTCTTCTCTGTCTGTGTGCCTGTCTGTCTCTAACTCTCTAACTCTTTCTCTCTTTCTCTCTCTCACTCTCTA